CATTCAGTGATCGGGTCCAAAATAAGTGAAAGAAAATGATCAATCTGCTGGGAGTTTTAGTAGGATCATCAGTTGATAGGCTAATAGAGTCTATATCATTCATAGTCTTCTAGAGAATATGGAGTTGGAGTGCTTTTCATGATCAGGATTTTCAAAAGCATTGTGTGCTTTATATATATAGTTGGAGAATGTGGCATATTTGTAGAACATTTGTCAATATTAATTTGTCCAGTACTTGTACCAGGATATATTTGGCTTAGATCAAAATCATCAATATAGGCTTGTAGAACCTGTGAAGCAGAACATTTCCTCCACAAACACTTCAGTCCAAATCTCCGAAAGCAAATCCATCATGCCAAAGGACAGAGTGTTAAATTTATGGGAAGAAATCTCAGCTATTCACTAGGGCCACGGAAGAGAGAAAAATGCATACTTCTCAACCCTAGGCCCAAAGCCCCAGCCTGTTAGCAGACTGAAGATGCGACGCCACTCCTCTCTCTCTCTCTATCTCTCTGGCAAGTGCTAGTGGCTCTATAGCAAAACTTCAAAAAAAAAGTATAAAAAAATGAAAGATTTTTGGAGAGATTTTTGGTATAGGGTACATGAGCTCATCAGAGAGACAGAGAAACAGGAAGTGAGAAATCACCCCCTGGGCGATGGCTGTGCCACAATCCCTTCTCTTCCATTCTTCTCTTGGGATTCTGAGTATGCATGCACATGCACCTGGTGTGAGTTTCAAGTCACTGATCTGGGACTCAAACTGCAGTTGGCCATGTGGGAGTCCAATGCCTTAACCATTATGCCACCTGTTGGCCCCCCAAATAAAAAGACTTAATTGATTTTATTTGTGCTTCTAGAATTGCACATTTCACCTTGGAAAACAGAATGTTTCCTATGAGCTGAGCAGAAAAGATCAGTATTTAAGATAGAGAAAGGATAAAGAAAGCAGAAACAGAACAAAAAGATTTTAGTTACTTTCATCCTAAGGTGGGGAGTTGGAGAGTTACCAATAAAAATAACTAGTTAACATCAAATTACTTTAAATTATGTGTGTGTGTGTGTGTGTGTGTGTGTGTAAGATTAAGTGCAGAGGGAACTTCATTATCATGCTGATTGAAACTGGCCTGTTGGAAAGCATGGCTGTTATCTCTGGGTTCCTCATTTCTCAAAAGGTCAAACAGTTGCTTGGTGCATAAGTGACTCCATGATTTGATTTTCAGTATGGTCTGTTAAGGCCTTTAGCAGGGGCTCAGTTCAAAACAATGGTCTCCTATAATTTTTTGTTTAACATGGGACCAGCAGATAGTGTAATGGTTATGTTGTTGGACTCCCACATAGTTGGCCACGGTTTGAGTCCTGGACGTGGTGGCTTAAAACTCACCCTCGGTGTGTGTGTGCATGTCCAAAATCTCAAGAGGAGAATGGAGGAGAAGGGATTGCAGCACAGCCATCCTCCTGGGAAATGATCTCTCCCTTTCTGTCTCTGTCTTTCCAGTGAGCGTGTGTGCCCTGTAACAAAAATCTCTCTTAAAGAAAATATTTGGGCTGGCAGGTGGCGTGGTGGTTAAAGACACTGGATTTCCACATGGCTAAATGTCTTTTAAATCTCAGACCTAGTGGCTTGCTTTCTTGCTTTCCCTTTCTGTCTGGTCAAATTAAAAAATAATAATCAGCAATGGAATTAAATAAATAATTATTTAAAAACATTTGCTTAACATCCTACATCCCACATTAACACATTACGAAGTCCTTCAGTTTTCTTTCAAATGCATTCTGAAATTGGCTACTTCTTTCCTTTCCTTCTCTTTCTTTTTATTTTTTTGACAGTTTTGTTTGTTTGTGCTATAGGGCAGGAGAGACATTGAGAGACAGAAAACAAGAACTTACCCCGTGGGGGGATGGCCACTTATGCAATACCTTCTCCTTCATTCTTTTTCTTAGGATTTTGGACATGCATGCACACACCTGGCATGAGTTTAAGCTTCTGGGTTTGGAACTTGAACCATGGTCGACTATGTGGGAGTCCAGCGATATAACCATTACACCATTTTTTTTTTAAAACTTGCTATAGGGCACATGTGCTCAACAGAGAAGGGGAGAGAGAGAGAGAAGAGAAAGTGAGGAAGCACTTCTCCAACACCCCACCTCTGCCAGTGGGGATGGTTACACTGCAATCCCTTCTCCTCCATTCTCTTTTCAGAATTTTGGGAAAGCAAACACACACGTGTTTGGTGTTTCTCTCTCTCTCTCTCTCTCTTTTTCTTTTCTTGGGAGAGGTTTTTGCCTTCGGGCATATGTACTAGCTGGAGAGAGAGAGAAACAGAGACAGTGAGAGGAGAAGTGAGAAATCAGACTCCAGGAGGACGGCCACACCACAGTTGCTTCTTTTCCTGGGATCTTGGGCATGCACACACATGCACCTGGCATGAGTCTCAAGCCACTGGGTGTAGGACTCAAATCATGGTTGGTTATGTGGGAGTTCAGCTTCATAACAACTATGCCATTTGCTCACCCTGCCTGGAGTTTTGCAAGCTACCAGTCTGGGACTCAAACTGTGCAGCCAGCCATGTGGGATCCAGCTACCTTAACCACTACATCATTTGCTGGCCCTATTGTTTTCTTTCGAGGTCTAGTTTCAGACATCATTTCCCACCTGGTCAGAGAGTTATGAAGTTTAACATATAAAACAGCCATATAAACTGAGAAACTATACAAATCCTGTTTATCCAATTTGTGAGTAATACTTATTGGCCCTCTCTGGATTTACTGAAATAGCTTCTGTGCCTGAAATACTGTGTCTGTTCTTGTTCCCATCTCCATGAAAGCTTTTTCTCTATGAAAAAAAATGTAAACTTAGGCTGGCCCCATAGCCTAGTGGTTATGGGAGCTGGATCCCACATGGTTTACCATGTGGTTTGAATCCCAGCCCTAGTGGCCTGAAAAACATGTTGGGCACATGTATGTATGCTCACGGTCCCAAAGGATGGAGAAATGGAGGAGAAAGGACTGTTGCACAACCACGGTCTATTGGAGGGCGCTTTCTCCCTTTCTGTCTGGTGAGTGCAAACATCCTATGGTCAAAAATTAAAAAAAAAAAAGTACTCAAATATTTTGGAATGAATGAGTGAATGAACTTCTGTACAAGTATATCTTTCATGGTTTAAGTTTTGCTTAATTTTTCCATAACTGTTTAGATGAATGGTCAAAGAGTTAGAGAGTTTAATGATGCATATGAAATGGCTATATAAACTGAAAAACTACAAAAACTGTGGATCTCATTTGTCAGTGCTACGTATTGGTCTTCTCTGGATTCCCTCATTACTGCTCTGGGCCCTGCACAATATAAGAATAATAATTCTGTAATTCAAATGCCTGAATTTTTAAATACCTGTTTGGTGTTTGGGCTGCTAGATGTTCAGAGGGATTCAAGATTGTAAAAGTCATAGTCTATCAAGAAGGAGTTTAACTTTCTAGTTGGGGAAAATAAGATATGCATAAGAGAAACACACTGAAAACATTTAAAAAACAACAAAGATAGTGATAGCAATGAGAGCAGAAGGAATGTGGAATATTGGAAACATTCTTTAGTGGGCTTAGTGTATAAAACAATTTTTAAAAATTTTGTTTAATTTTATTATTGTTTTTTTAATTTGACTAGAGAAAGAGAGGGAAAGTGAGAAAGCAACCTGTGAGGCCCGACTAGAACTGCAGTCAGTGAGAGTCCAGTACCTTAACCACCACACCACCTGCGGCCTGCAGGGAACAAAGGTTTTTTCTGTAGGGTACACGGGCTCACCAGAAAGAAGACAGAAAGCGACAGAAACCGAGAAATCACCCTCCACCCACCACCACTCCCCACCCCAGGGATGACCATGCCACAATCTCTCCTCCATTCTCCTCTTGGGATCTTGGGCACACACGCACACTCGCCTGCGTGTGTCCAGGACTCCAACTGTGGTCTAGCAACATAGCCATTACGCCAACTGCTGGTCCCAAAGGGAAGCAAATCTTAAAAGGCTCATAATTAGGGAATTTCTGGAGTGGAAAAGGGTGGAACATTTCAAATCCTTTTTTTTTTTTTTTTTGGAGAGGTTTTTGCTATAGGGTGCGTGAGCTCGCCAGAAAGAGAAAGAGAGAAGGAAGGTGAGAAACCACACCCCAGGGGAGATGGCCACCCGGCAATCCTGGCAATCCTGGCAATCCCTTCTCCTCCATTCTCCTCCTGGGATCTTGGGCACACATGCACACGCGCCCGGCATGAATTTAAGCCACCAGGTCCTAGATGACTACATAAGACTCCAGCGACATAGCCATTATGTCATCTGCTGGTCCCTCAAATCTTTTCTTAGTCCCTTCTTGAAACACTAGGTTGATAAATGACTTACTTTGTTACCTCCGTTGGCATTAATGTATATATCTGTATCCACACCTACATCTATGTATCTTTCTAGTCTCTGATTAACTGCATACTTCCCGTGAGGTAGTTTTCCCACTCAACTTTTCCCTCCTTCATTATGCTAAGAACTTTTTTACTGTTATATCAGGCAATTCATTACAAATACATACCTTTGAATATGTTAAATCCTCTTGAAACTGTCGTTGGCATTAAATTTGATAATACATGTGAAGTAATGTATATCAAGAAAATGAAGGACTGTGCTGAGCGTGTAATAAATCAGATTATCTTATCAAAGAAATGTAAATGAAAAATAGACAAAGGCGAAATCTCGATCCTCAAAGACACAGGAGATAGAAACTGCGATAAGAAAGGAGTCTGGCGTGGTTTACTAACTGACAAGAATACCGGACGCAACCCTTACTCGGACCAACACCTCTAGGGTCCACCGCTGACCCGAGGCGCTAGTCAGTCTAGGCTCCCGGAAGGTAAACACATCGCAAAGGGCGGAGCAGAAGGCGGGCTTGGGATGGGTGAGTGGCCAGCTAAAAGTGATTGGCAGCTGCCATGTCCACGTGCTTTGAGCTTCGAACTAGGTGTCGCGAGAATTCGATGTAAACAGACCAGGTTCCTTATCCTCTGCTTCCTTGCCTGAGACGCTCGGATGAGGTGGGCAGGAGCTCGGGGCATGTTGCTTTTTTTGGGAAAGCCAAGACAGGGTTCTCTGCAACGAAAATAGACATGTCCCTAATTCCTCCCCACCTACCTGCGCTCGCAACCGAACCTGACACGTCGGTTTCACCCGAACTTATATGCTGTTGTGTTTTCCCTCCAGCTCCAGCGGATTGGATCAATTCAGGAGGCGGGTCCGCCTCTTTTCTAATTGCTGGTTGGCGAAGCGGACCTCTAAGGGCGGTGCCCGGTCAGAGCCCGTTTCCTTCGGGGATTGGCTGGACGGGTGGTTCCGCTGAGGCGTGGTAGGAAGTGGTAGACGTCAATCACGAGGGGAGACTCCAAACAGTGAGCCTTGAGCTGGAGAACAGCGTTTACCGGCGGAGCGGCCGGTGAGAGGGCTGGTGGGGCTTTGGCTTTGGGGAGGCTTGGAGAGGACGATGGGCTGTCAGCGTAAGGGGACCGGGTCTGGCAGGCCGGAATTCTACTGGGGAGAGGTGTCGAGACTGGAGGGGGAGGGGAGAAGGCAGGGGGCCAGAGGGCGGCCGGGGGCAGTGGTGGCTTGGTGTTGGAGGTTAAGTGGGTAGCCCGGTGCGAGTGGCTCTCAGACGCTGGGGGCCTGAAGGGCTGGTGAGGGTCGTGCTCAGGAGACAGAGCCTTTAGAAGACAGGGCTGAGGAGACTGTGCTTCGGGGAAAAAAGGGTGGCATGGAAATGAGAAGGGCTGAGGGGTTGGAGGTGAGGGTACCCTCTAAGAAAGGGGTAGCTGGGCTAGTTGAGGTAAAGGCTATTTAAGTCATAGGAGGTGGGGCTCACTAGCTTGGGAGTTTTCAGATAAGGTGATAGAATGTCCCCTACTTAGAAGGGATGGTTTTGGGTGTTTTCAAGATGATATCCAGTGGGCTTCCCTGAGCCCTGTGAGAGATTTTTAATAGTGCCGTCAGTTCTCTTTTAACCTCAACCAAGTAGACTCCATGCTCTTAAAACCTCCTCAGTGATTCAGAGGCTTATTAGACATCCAAGGATCCAAGATTTAGTGATGCAATAGGAAAGGAAGGGGCTTCTAACATCAGATAAGTTTATATTGCTTATTTGTTTAGACTCTGGTGAGCAGGTTACAATTGAAGGGGGCTAAAAATGTAATTGCACCTGTAGGGTCCTATAGGTTACCAACAGGTTTAGTTGGAAGGTAAAAGTGGTAACCAGTCCGTGCTCCATTTGGTTTTGAAATACTGTGCCATGTGTAGTTTTGCTCTCAGCATAAAATTCCAGCAAATTCTTTAATTTTGGCTCACAAAGTTTGCTCATTTGTTTACCTAAGCAATCCTGTGCCATACATCCCATCTCTTGATGTGATTCTCTTATCTTTCCAGTTTATGTTAAGGACAAAAGAGAACATCCAGCCAGAGTCTTAAACTGGATTTTTGGTTCTGAGGCATGGGCCTATGTAAAAAAAAAAAAAAAAAAAAGAAAAAAGATAATTTGAAATAATAATAAAATTTCCTCATTTTCATTTCTAGTGTAATAGGAATTGATGGAAGAGTTCCTATGTTATAGACATTTTTCTTTCTTTCTTTTTTTTAGTTTCCTATAGGGCATATGTACATGCCAGAGAGGGGGAGAGGAGGAAAGTGAGAAATTGCCCCCAGGGGAATGGCCATGTCATCATCCCTTCTCTATTCTCTTTGGATTTTGGGCAGACATGGCACGTACATGCTCCCAGCATGATTTATTTTCTTTCTTTCTCTCTTTCTTTCTTTCTTTCTTTGGAGAGGTTTATTGTAGGGTGGGTACACTCGCCAGAAAGACACAGAGAGACGGAAAGCAAGAAATCACCCCCCTACGGGGGATGGCCATGGCACAATCCCTTCTCTATTCTCCTCTGGGAATCTTGGGCACAAACACACACGCACTGCAAGAGTTCAAACCACAGGTTTGAACTACATGGGAGTCCGGCGACATAGCCATTACACCAACTCTTGGTCCCAACTCCCAGCATGATTTTCAAGCTGTCAGGTCCACAACTCAACTGTGCAGTCAGTACTGTGGGATCCAGCTGCCTTAACCTCCATACCATTGGCTGGCTCTGCTGTTTTTTCAAGAGATGGGGATCTCTTGTTACCCAGACTGGCCTTGAAACTGAAGTCCTCCTGCCTCAGCCTTCTGAGTCACTGGAACTACAGGTGTGAGCCACTGTACCTGGCTAGGATCTCTAGTGATCAACCGTAAAGTTCATTTTTTACCTTCAATGATGATGATCCATTTTTTCCTATTTTTTTCACTCTGGAAACAGGTTTTATGAATGAAGCAATGGCTACTGATTCCCCCAGAAGACCCAGTCGTTGTACTGGTGGAGCTGTGGTTCGCCCTCAGGCTGTCACGTAAGTACAGTTCTTTTTCTTTGTTGTCATTGTTAAGAGAGAGATTTTTGCTATAGGGTATGTACGCTTGCCAGAGACACAAAGGAGACAGAAAGTGAGAAATCACCCCCCAGGTGGTCACACTGCAATCCCTTCTCCACTCTCCTTTCGGGATATTGGGCATGCATGTCCATGTGCTCAGTGTGAGTTTTAAGCCACCAGGTCCAGGACTCAAACTGCGGTCGACTACATGGGAGTCCAGTGACGTAACCATCATGCCATTTGCTGGTCCCAGGCAAGCAAAATTCAGATAAACCTTGTAGCTGAAGAAAAGATTACTAAGAATAATAACTGATGTTCAAGTTTTTATTTTGAATCGTGTTTACTATTGTACAAATGCTTTTAATTTTGTCTTTCAGGATGGGTAGATATTGTTAAAGGCAAATTAAAAGAGTAAACGAAAGGCTAAGTTGATGAATTCAGCACATTTATAGAGTATTCGAAGAGCACTAAGTTAAAATTTTCATACTGTATGTTTAACAAATTAGTGGACCAGGAGCTATATTAAAAAATGAAGTACAAGGACCAGCAGTTGGCATAATGGCTATGTCGTGGTCAAATATATGGAAGTCCAGTGAGATAGCCGTTAAGCCAACTGCTGGTTCCTAAATAAAAAAAATATATATATTTTTTTAAATCTTTTTTTTTAAAGGTCACTTTATTTATTTATTTATTTATTTTTGGGGGGGAGAGGTTTTTGCTATAGGGCACGTGTGCTTGCCAGAAAGATAGAGAGAGACAGAGTGATAAAAAGCAAGAAATCACCCCCAGGGGATGGCCACACTGCAATCCCTTCTCCTCTATTCTCCTTTCAGGATCTCGGGCATGCATGCACATGCGCCCGGCATGAGTTTAAGCCACCGGGTTTGGGACTCTAACCATGGCTACATGGGAGTTCAGCGACATAGCCATTACACTAACTGCTGGCCCCAAAAGATCACTTTATTTAACTTTATTTATTTATTTACTCATTTTAATTTGACCAGAGAGAGACAAGTGAGAGAGAGAGAGAGAAAGTGAGAGAGCAAGCTGCCAGGTCCAGTCCTCAAACCATGGTTGGCCATGTGGGAGTCCAGTGCCCTTAACCACCACGCCACCTGCCGGCCCCAAAAATAATAATTAAAAAAACAAACAAACAAAAAAAACATGTTGGGCGCTTGTGCGTGCGTGCCTCAAATCCCAAGAAGTGAATGGAAAAGAAGGGATTAAAGTGTGGCCACCTCCCAGGGTGAGTTCTCACTTCCCTGTCTCTGTCTCTCAGTTGAGCCCAAACACTCTATGGCAAAAAAAATCTAAAAAGAAAACAATGAAAATTCATATATAATATTTCTATTTCTTTTTAAAAAAGATTTATTTTTTTCCATTTGTTATTGTTTTTTGTTTGTTTGTTTGTTTGTTTTTGTTTTTGTTTTTGATGAGGAAGAGAGAGAGAAAGAAAGGGAAATGGAAAGCAAGAAAGCAAGCCACCAGGTCTGGGACTTGAACCATGGTTGGCCATATGGGAATCCAGCACCCTTATCCACCACACCACCTATTGGCCTCCATACATAATATTTGTATATTCATTTTTCATGAACTTTAAAAAAAAACTCTTATCCATAAATTCTATTAGGAAAGCTCTTTCTGAGGAGACAACACCCATGGTGGAGATTTGAAAGGAAGGGTAGAATGCAGGAAGGATTTCAAGCAGAAAGGTAGCATAAAACTCTTGATTTAAAAAACTTGTATTCTTTTTAAAATATTTGCCAGAGAGTATGTTCTCTCGCTAGAGAGAGAGAGAAAGCACTCCCTAATTGGTCATGATCATACTACAGTCCCTTCTTCATTTCTACATTCTGTCAGGCTTTAAGGCATGCATACACTTGGTATGTTTTTCAATCTACACACAGTCAGTAATGTAGATCTGGTTCCCTTTAAGCAGCACTCCAAGTGGCTGGCACAACTTTAGTGTAGTCTAAGAACTGAAGTTGCATGTCGCTGAAACAGTGAGTTAAGAGAGTGGCCAGAAGTTGGCAGGTGGCATGTTGGTTAAGGGCGTTGGACTTCCACATGGCCCACCATGCTTTGAGCCTGGTCTTGATGACTTGCTTTCTCACTTTCCCTCTCTCTTTCTTGCTCTGTCCCTCTCTGGTCAAATTAGGAAAATAAGTAAAGGTCAATAAAATAATTCTTAGAAAACAAAACAAAACAAAAAAAACCAGAGAGATTGGGCCTGGCAGGTGGTGTGGTGGTTAGGGGTACTGGACTCCCACATGGTCGATGGCAATTCGAGTCCCAGACCTGGTATCTCACTTTCTCCCTTTCCCTCTCTCACTCTGTCCCTCTCTGGTCAGAATCAAATAAATATATAAATAAAGTAACATTAAAAAAAACAAAAACAGACAAACTAAAAAAGAGAATGTCTAAAAAGTGGGGCTGAAGAGGTAGCTCTAATTATTATTATTAGTTTTTTAGGTATGATCAATTATTTTTAGAATTATTTTATTTAACTTTATTTTTATTTTAATTATTTAAATTTGACCAGAGAGGGACAGAGAGAGAGAGAGACAGACAGACAGACAGTTGGAAAGCAAGAAAGCAAGTCACCAGGTGAAAAGCAGGAAAGCAAGCCACCAGGTCCAGGACTTGGACCATGGTTGACCATGTGGGAGTCCAGTACCTTTAACCACCATGCCACCCTAGTCATGATCAATTTTTGTAGGTTTCTTAGGCATATTGTTTTCCATAGGATTTAAGGTAACTCTTTAAGAATTATTTTGTGTAATTTTATTCATTTTCATTATTTTTTTTTGAAGTTGACCAGAGAGAGACAGAAATAGAGAAAGAAAGTGAGAAAGCAAGCCACCAGGTCCAGGACTTGGACCATGGTTGACCATGTGGGAGTCCAGTACCTTTACCCACCATGCCACCCTAGTCATGATCAATTTTTGTAGGTTTCTTAGGCATATTGTTTTCCATAGGATTTAAGGTAACTCTTTAAGAATTATTTTGTGTAATTTTATTCATTTTCATTATTTTTTTTTGAAGTTGACCAGAGAGGGAGATGCACAGAGAAAAAGGAAAGTGAGAAAGCAAGCCACCAGGTCCAGGACTTGGACCATGGTTGACCATGTGGGAGTCCAGTGACATAGCCATTACGCTAACTGCTGGCCCCATGCCCCTTACTATTTTCTTTTTTTTTTTGGAGAGGTTTTTGCTATAGGGCGCGTGTGCTTGCCAGACAGACGGAGAGAGACAGAGAGATAGAAAGTGAGAAATCACCCCCCAGGGTGGATGGCCACGCTGCAATCCCTTCTCCTCCATTCTCCTCTCGGGATCTTGGGCACGCACGCACACGCGCCCGGTGTGAATTTAAGCCACCAGGTCTGGGACTTGAACCGCAGTTGACTATGTGGGAGTCCAGTGACATAGCCATTACGCTAACTGCTGGTCCCATGCCCCTTACTATTTTCTTTAGGTATATTTTTTCACATCTTTCCTGAAATGAGTTTGATTTAATATTTTGAAGAAATTGTTTTTATCCATTTGCTGACATTTGTGTGTCAGCAAGACACATTCCATTTAATATGTTAATTTAGGGCTGGTTCCATGGTGCAGTGGTAATGTGCTCCTCAAGACAAGCTAGATTGTACATTGAATCCCTGGCCCGCTCAGCCTGAAACACGCTGGGCACACACACAAGTCTTTAAGATTCAGTGGTGGCGGGAGACAGCCAGGTGGCATGGTGGTTAAGGTAACTGGATTCCACATGGCCAACTGTGTGGTTCAAGTTCTGGATCTGACAGCTTGAAAAACATGCCTGCTGCCTGTGTATGCATGCCCAACATCTTTAGAGGAGAGCAGAGGAGAAAGAATTGTAGTATGGCTCTCCCCTGTAGGGGTTGCTTTCTCATTTTCCATCTGTGTCTGCCCCTATGGTGAGTGCATGTACCCTATACCCCCCAAAAAACTAAAAATTCAATGGAAAAAAGATCTAATGGGCTGCAGGAGTGAACGAGGAAATCATGACGTGAGCAGACCATGTAGAGAGTGCCCATTTCTCCTTTGCTCTCACCTTTGTGCATGTGCACTTTTTTTTTTTTTGAGAGATTTTTAGCTATACAGCATGTGTGCTCATTGAAGAGACAGAGATGTATGTGCACTCGCTGGAGAGACAGAGGCAGAGAGACAGAAAGTGAGACCTCACCCTCTGCGGGATGACCACTCCACAATCCCCTCTCCATTCTCCTTTTGGGATTTTGGGCACACACACACACACACGTGCCCAGTGTGTATTTCAAGCCGCCAGGTCTAGGACTCAAACTGGGGTTGGCCAGGTGGGAGTCTAGTGCCTTAACTTCTATGCCACTTGCTAGCCTGGTGCATGTGCACTCTTTCATAAATAAAGAATAAAATGGGGGCCAGCAGGTGGCATGGTGATTAAGGTGCTTGACTTCCCACTTGACTGATTATAGTTCAAGTCCTGAATCTGACAACTTGAAATCATGCTAGGTACATGTGCATGTGTGCCCAGAATCCCAGGAGAATGGAAGAGAAGGGACTATGTCATGGCCATCTCCCTGGGGGATGATTTCTCACTTTCCCTCTCTCTCTTTCTTTTTGTGAGTGCTTGTACCCTATGGCAAAAACCTTAAAAGGAAAAAGAAAAAGTGTTAATTGATTAGGTTGTTGGGAAAGTCATGATTTTTTTAAAAGAATTATTTAACTTTATTTATTTATTTTAATTTGATAGTGAGAGAGAGAGAGAGAGAGAGAAAGCAAGCCACCAGGTCCAGGACTCAGACCATGGTCAGCCATGTAGGAGTCCAGCGCCCTTAACCACCATGCCACCTGCCAGCCCATGGTTCATTCATGCTTAAAACCACATTGTAGCTCCCACTGCCTGAGAACGGAGGCAGGGTGGCCTTTGGTGATCTGGTCCTGACACACAGAGAGAAAGAGAGAGAGAGAGAGAAAGCAAACCTCCAGGTCTGGATGTGAACTGTGGTCAGTCCAGCGCCTTAACCATCTTGCCACCTGCTGGTCCCCCATGATGTATTTTTTTATTAAAAAATGTGTCATGACTTTCCTGACAACCCAATAGTATCCGTAACAATATATTTTCCCCTCAGTTTTATGCAGTTTAATATTTTTTCATGCCTTGTGTATGACAAAATTTCTGTGAGGACTTTTAAAAAAATAATTATTTATTTAATTTTAAAATTCATTTTTATTGTTTTTAATTTGCTCTAGGGCATGTGTGCTCTCTAGAGAGAGACAGAGAGGGGGAAAGTGAGAAAGCAAGCCATCAGGTCTGGGACTTGAACCACAATCGGCCACATGGGAGACCTGTACCTTAACCATCATGCCACCTGCTGGCCCCTTTCAAGGACTTTTTAATAAATCATTCTAATGCCTAAATTTGCATCAAATTGTAGAATCATTTTTCATTAAAGAATTATTTTATTTAACTTAATTAATTAACTTATTTATACATATATACATACATACGTACATACATACCAGAGAGGGACAGAATGAGAGACAGAGAGGTGGGGAGGGGGGAATGAGAAAGCAAGCTGCCTGGTCTGAGACTTGAATCGTGGTTAGCCAAATGGGAGTCCAGTGCCCTTAACCACCATGCCACCTGCCGGCCTCTATAGAATCATTTTTTTATATACAGGTAAAGGACTGGGTTTATAACCAATTTACAGAGATGGTCACTAAATACTGAGTCATCAGCAATAGTTGTTCTTGGTGTAACTAGGGCATTATTCTCTGACTCAAGAGGAAAGTCCTGCCTTAGATGGGTCTTTTGTCATCACTCCTTCAAATTCAAGTTAGACATTATCGGATTAGGAGAGTATGTTTAAAAATGTTAAAGCCTTATTTACATTTGATAACATACAAAGACTCATGAAACTAGAAAGGAGGTTGGCTGAATTATGAGATGATAGGAGGTGACTTTTTCCCCCCTCTTATTTTAGCATTATGAGTGGTTTTTCCAGAACTTGTAAACAGAACTTTTCCATGGACTGTCGTGAACTGTCATGACAAATTTTATCCATTTCACCTTTTTCAGAGAGCAGTCCTACATGGAAAGTGTTGTGACTTTTCTTCAAGATGTTGTGCCACAGGTAAGTGTCTACGTGTGATTTTAGAAATAGCTTTGGCGCATGGCCAGGGAGGTTCTGAAGCATTCTGTTTCCTGAGGGTGACATTAGTATCAGCAACCTCGGCAAGGCTTTAGATGTTTTAGCATTCTGAGAATTAGTAGGTGGAACCATTCACGTTATTGGCTGGTTGTGCTTCAATTTTGTGGGGACAGTGGCATTTAGAACTTGGTCTTCTTAGAGGAATCAAGGTGAAAAATTAATTGGGTCTCTAGTTGATTTCCATTTCCAAAATCTTTGACCTTTTTCTAGTTAAATATTGCCTGTCTACAGTGAGAAAATAGACACTTCATTCAGTGGATATTAACTAGGTCTTCTAAAATGAGCATGAATCTACATCTCTTTCATGTTAACGCAGCATTTATGCTAAGTAGGGTTGGCCTTGTTACTGTAACTTATTAGAGATCAGGCCCCTTATTATTTACTTTCTATAAATGTGAGAATGAGAATAGCCTTACTGGAATCATCTAATGTACTATTGTCCAAACTCAACATAAGTATCTCTTGTCACACACAAAAGAAAAGATATTTTCTACGCTTCTCTCCCAGAGAGTCTGACACAGTGAATTTGAAGTGGTGCCTGGTAACTTGTGCCTATAGTAAGAGTCTCAGGTAATTCTTGTGAAATGATAGCTTTGGGAAGCAGTTTTAATGCAGTTGCTGAACGGAAAGGTTTTTATATTTTCTTACGGTGATGTCATCTTCCTTGACTGCCATGGTATTTGTAGCTGCACTGTTCAAAAAGGATATTCATAGATCAGTGTCCCAGCTTTATGGGAGGGTTCTATAATGTCCAAAATCCAGATTTTCATTGTATTAAATAAAATGTATTTATCAAATAAGGACAAAATACCAACGTATATTGGTATTGCTTTATTTTTTTTTAAGAGATTTTTGCTATAGGGCATATGTGCTCACCAGAGAGACAGAGACAGGCAAAAATCAAGAAATCCCCCCCCCCCACCAGAGGGGATGGCCACACCACAGTCCCTTGTCCGTTCTCCTCTCAGGGTTTTGGGCATGCACACACATGTGCCTGATATCTTTTAAACTGCTGGTCTAGTACTCAAACCATAGTTTACTAGATGGGAGTTCAGTGACATAACCATTACACCATCTCCTGGTCCCTGGTATGGCTTTATTATATTAATTCCATGTTAATGAGAGTAGACCATGATAACAAGGTTTGTGGAACAAGTAAGGAAGAAATAACTTGGAAAGTCAAATTGCATGAACCAATCAGAGATGATTAATAACAACATATTAATAAATGTTACACCTAGTACAGACAGAATACTTAATTCTAAGGGAATGTACAGCAAAAGAAGGAGAGTCGAGTTCCAGAGGATGTTAGAAGTACCACTAGTTGAAATGAAAAGATTGGGTGTTTGCTGTAGAATGAGTCTGCTGCCACCATGCCCTGCAGGACTACTCTGGCAACAGGGTGTCTTGTACTCCATGCAGTGTGTCAGGTTAGAGAGTACTTGGGGGACTGAAACCCAAGTTGTTCTCTGAGTGCCCTGAGCCCTAGAGTGAGGCTACAGTGCAAAGAAATGGCATTTTAAAACCTCTGTGATTGTCTGCCCTTAGATGCCTCTTTATCAAATTTTTATACAATGGCATCTTTTGTGCTATTAGGGACCCTGTGTAGCAAGCAGTTTTTGTTGGCTGGAGGAGAGAGGCTGTGGTCAGAGCCTGTAAAGGAGTAGTTGGAGAGTTGGTCAGAGGAACAAGAATGCTAGGTTGAGTAACTTCTGTTATGCAGAAAACAAGGGGTTGGTGAAACTGATAGGGGTAAAAATAATGGAAGTTAGGAGATAAATTTTATTTTTTATTTTTTAAAATAATAACTTGCACTTGCCAGGGAGATACAGGGAGAAGGAGAGAGAGAGAAAGGGAGAGTGAGAGATTACTTCTCAGGGAGATGGCCACACCACAATCCCCTCTCCATTCTCCTCTTGGAACCTTGGGTATACGCACACATATACCTGGTGTGTTTCTCAAGACAGTGGGTCTTGAGAATTCAAACTGTAGATTCAAGTGGGTTCCACGTGTCTTAAAATCCATGCCACATGCTGACCCAATTTTATTTTTATGAATATCATACATTAGAAAGGAGATGGGACCAGCAGTTGGCGTAATGGCTATGTCGCTGGACTCCCATGTAGTCGACCGTAATTCGAGTCTCGGACCTGGTGGCTTAAACTCATGCCGGGTGCGTGTGCATGCGTGCCCAAGATCCTGAGAGGAGAATGGAGGAGAAGGAATTATGGCTTTGCCATCCCCCTGGGGGATGATTTCTCACTTTCTGTCTCTGTCTTTCTGGTGAATGCACACACCCTATAGCAAAAACTTCTCTAAAAAAAGAATAAAGAAGAAAGGAGACAATAATCTGTGCAGTGACCCTGAAGATTTTTTTTTTTTGGAGAGGTTTTTGCTATAGGGCGCGTGCACTCGCCAATGAGAGACAGAGGGAGACAGAGAGACAGAAAGCGAGGAATCACCACCCCCCGGGGGGATGGCCACGCTGCAATCCCTTCTCCTCCGTACTCCTCTCGGGATCTTGGGCACACACGCACATGCACTTGGTGTGAGTTTTTAAGCCACCAGGTCCAGGATGCGAACTGCAGTCGACTACATGGAAGTCCAGCGACATAGCCATTACACTAGCTGCTGGTCCCCTGAAGATTTGGGTCAAATTCGAAAGTATGAAAGTAAAATCATAGGCCTATAACTGAACATTAGAATATTTATTCAGCAAATTTTGGGCCAGCGGGTGGTGTGGTAGTTAAGGTGCTAGACTCCCACATGGCTGACCATGGTTCGCATCCTGGACCTGGCAGCTTGCCTTCTCACGTTCTCTCTCTCTCTCTCTCTCTCTCTCTCTCAATAAAATAAAATAAAATAGGTTCAGGACTCAAACTGTGGTCAGCTATGTGGGAGTCCAGTGCCTTACCCACCATGTGACCTGCTGGCCCCTAGTTTATAGTTTTGACCAATGCAACATGGTAATGTGAAATTTGATTCTATTAGATGATTAATATTAGGGGAAACTGAGTAAGGAGAATTCTGTCTACCATTTTAATGATTTAAAATGATTTCCAAAATAAAGTTTATTTTATTTATTTATTTATTTTTCAATAAAGCACATTTGTTTAATAAAGAGACAGAGAAAGAGGAAGAGAAATCACTCCCAACGCAAATGGCCTTGCCACAGTCTCTTCACCTCACTTCTCCTCTTGGGATTCTGGGCATGTACGCACACATATCTGGTGGTTTTTTTTTTTTTTTTTTTTTTTTTTAACTGGTCATATCCAGGGTTCTGAATCTTGAAAGGTGCATAGTAGGGCCTCTGTCCTCGGTGCTGATGTGTCCACTAAGCTGTCAGTCTTTTTGCTGGAGCCTTTTATCTTCCAGGAGTAATGGAGTACAAAGTGGAATAGATGGGAGAAAATTCTCAGCATGGAAAATGTCTTTCAGGAAAAAACGAACCGCGGTCGACTACATGGGAGTCCAGCAACATAGCCATTACGCTAACTGCTGCTCCCTCCTGTGTGTTTTTTAAGAGACCAGATCCAAGATTCGAATCACACAGTTGGCCATGTATAATCCAGCACCTTAACCATCACACCATGGGCTGACCCAAAAAAGTTTATTTTAAAAAGAGTTTTGAGGGGCCAGCAGGTGACATAGTTGTTAAGGGTGCTGGACACCCACATGGCCGACTGCAGTTCGGGTTCCGGACCTGGCAAGATGCTTTCTTACTTGTTTTCTCTCTCACTCTGTCCCTCTCTGGTCAAATTAAAAAAGAAATAAAATAATTCTCAAAAAAAAAAAAAAAGTTTTGAGGGACGAGCAGATGGCATAATGGTTATGTCACTGGATTCCCACATAGCTTACCAATGTTCAAGTCCCTGGACCTGTCAGCTTGAAACTCATTCTGGTTGCATGTGCATGTGTGCCCAATATCCCAAGAAGAGAATGGAAGAGAAGGGATTGTGGCACGGCCATTCCCCTAGGGGATGATTTCTTGCTTTTGGTTTCCCTCTCTCTTTATCTCTCTCTGTTTCTCTGGCAATTGCATGCTTCCTATAGTAAAAATCTCTCTTAAAATAAAAAAGATTTGAAGGGAGCGGCAATGGCATGTCATTGAGGTACTGGACTCCCACATGGCCGGCCATGGTTCAAGTCTCAGACCTAGTGGTTTACTTTCTCACTTTCCCTCTCTCTGTCTCTTTCTGGAGAGTATACATGCCTTATAGCAAAATTAAAAAAAAAAAATTGGGCGGGCTGGGTGGCATTGTGGTTAAAGTCACTGGATTCCCACATGGCCAACCACGGTTCAGGTCCGGGAACTGGCAACTTGCTTTCTCACGTTCCCTTTCTCTCTTTCGGTCTCCCTCTGGTCAAATTAAATAATAATAATACAACATATGGAGTTAAATAAATTAACTAATTAAAAAAGTTTTGAAGGATGAAAATAAAAAGCAAGACCATGAAATAACATGAGGATAAGTTGGTTGAAGATAAGGTTGATGGATTAGTTGGTTCCAGTGCAGGTTCTTCTATTCTCTAAAGGAATTAGCTGCCTTATACGTATCTCAATTATTTTTCCTTCTTTTTTTTTTGTAAGAGAGATTTTTGTTGTAGGGATCCTGCACTCGCCAGAGAAATGGAAAGCAAGGAATCAACCCCCAGGGGATGGCTATGTCACAGTCCCTTTTCCTTCACTCTCCTCTCGGGATTTTGGGCACACATACAAATGAGCCTGGCATGAGTTTTAAACCACCAGGTCTAGGACTCGAACCATAGTTTGCTATGTGGGAGCCCAGCAATGTAACCATTGTTCCATCTGCTAATCCCATATCTCACTTTTTTTTTTTTTTTAAAGAGACTTGAAATTCAATGGATGTGTATTTTCTTTTTTGTGTGTTCTTAATCTGGTATTATAACCCTGTCTTTTAATGGCATTTTCAGTAGCCCTTAATCTTGTATGGTATAATATGAGTGTTGTAAATTAACATGGAAATTTATAGTTGGTTGTATAACAAATTGTATATAGGAAGATAGTGTTTTCTATACTTTTGACTAAGTTTCTGCAAATTGAAAACCACTTTATAAAAAAAGTTATTTTGTCAATATTCTAAATACTTTTACTGTATATAATCTTTTAACATTTTTAAATAAAAATGTGCTATATGGAGAGATGATATTCCTGAATACTAACGGTTTCTGTTGACACTTTATGGCCATTAATGCTTATCTTTGTGACCCTTGCAGGTTTGTAGAAATGAGAATGGGTTGGGTCTGGAAGCCAGATAAAAGGACTGAAAAAGTCAAACTCTTTAGAAGTATAGGTCGAGTGTAATGGCCTAAACATCTGGAAACTAAATAGATAAGGATGGTAGTTGTCAATTTCCTATGCCTTCTCATTTGGTGACCAGTAAAGGAGGTGACTTTGTATATTGTGTGCCTTTGAATTATAGTGATGCTTCATAATAGATCATAATTATTGTTATTTTATACTTATGCAGTTCTTTAATAGCTTACAACTCTTTTTTGATCCAGGTTATCAGGTTCCTGGATAAAATTCTTTGGGAGTAATAATGTTTCAAAACATGCTTGTTACCAAGATGTAGGGCGGCTGGCGAAGTTGGAGAGGGTTAGGGTTGGCTTCATTTATGTCATGTTATTTTACACGTCAGTATTATTAGAGTTTAAAGTACAATTATTCACATGTTTCTATTTCTTATGCAGGCATACAGTGGAACACCTCTCACAGAAGAAAAAGAGAAAATAGTCTGGGTCAGATTTGAAAATGCAGACTTAAATGGTATGATTTTAACTTTTTTGGAACATGTGCATTAAATGTTTTTTTTTTTTTTTTTTTTGGAGAGATTTTTGCTATAGGGCGCGTGCGCTCGCCAGACAGACAGAGAGAGACATAGAGACAAAAAGCGAGAAATCACCCCCCAGGGGGGATGGTCACGCCGCAATCCCTTCTCGTCCATTCTCCTCTCGAGATCTTGGGCACGCACGCACACGCGCCCGGTGTGAGTTCTAAGCCACCGGGTCCGGGACGCGAACCACGGTCGACTACGTGGGAGTCCAGCGACATAGCCATTACGCTAACTGCTGGTTCCCCATGTGCATTAAATGTTTGAGGTTAATCTGACCGAAGAAAGAGAACTCTTACTTTGGTCAGATTACTTTCTCTTTAGTAACATTTTTGTTTTCAAAATAAATTTAATTTTAATTAAATAACAACACTCAAGAAACACCTCTGGAATGAATAGTGTATTGCACAGGGTCTTAAGTAACTGTAATACAGTGTATAGCCTTAAATTTTAGTTAAATTGAAGTGAGTTGGCGTAATGGTTACATTGCTGGATTCCCATGTCGTCGACCGGGGTTCAAGTCCCAGTCCTGGCGGCTTTAAACTTACTCTGGGCACTTGAGCATTTGTGCCCAAGATCCAGAGAAGAGAATGGAAGAGAAGGGATTGCGGTGTGGCCGTCTGCCCTGTGGGGTGATTTCTGTCTCTCTGGCAAGTGCACGTGTCCTATAGCAAAAAAATCTCTCTTAAAAAAAAATTCAAGTGAGCTAAAATTTTCTTAGAAAAGATGTTCTTAAGGGACCAGCAGTTAGCGTAATGGCTATGTCACTGGGCTCCCATGTAGTCGACTGCTGTTTGAGTCCTGGACTTGGCAGCTTAAACTCACGACAGTTGCGTGTGCGTGCGTGCCTAAGATCCCAAGATGAGAATGGAGGAGAAGGGATTGCGGTGTGGTCATCCCCTCTGGGGGGTGATTTCTCATTCTCTGTCTCTCTCAGTCTTTCTGGCGAGTGCACACACCCTATAGCATAAAAACCTCTCAAAAAAAAAAAAAAGTTAATTCAAGTTTGCCGGTTGTATGGACTTATAATGCCAAAATTATCATTAACATTTGAACTTTCAGACTTCTTTAAATTCTGAACAGAATTTATACTGACCCGTGGTCTGTTTCTCCTCAGAAATATTTCATTGCTCTTTTCTACTTTCTCTGGCAAGCTGATGATCCCTTAAGTGTTTCTGTTGTCTCCTGGCTGAGTTGGTAAAAGATTCAGTGGGAGAATAGTAGAAAAGGAAGAGTGAAAGATAAAATTATTTTAGTACCTCTTTGTCAACAGCTGTGTTTCCTTCCTGTTTAGCTTCCCCTGGGCAACCCTGCTGGTATTCCAGTCCTGCCAGGTGACTCACCATCCTGTGCTCCTCTTTGTCCTCCTAGCCTAGGAATGGTATTATCTTCCTGCTGTTGTTAATCTAATAGGTTTCCACACAGTTCCTTGTTTGTTAGCTCAGTTCGTCCATCACCTGTGTAACTATTAGGGTTTCTGAATTAAATTCTCTATTTTAAATTTGTATTTATTTTGTTTATAAATGTCCCTGTTTATTTTTCTATAAAGATTTTTGTCTTAGGGCATATGTGCTCACTAGAGAAAAACAGAGAGAGTGAAAGGAAAGTGAGAAATCACCCCCCAGGGGGAATGGCTACACCACAGTCCCTTCTCCATTCTCCTCCTAAGATCTTGGGCATGCAAACTCATGTGCCCAGCATGAGTTTCAAGCCACTGAGTCCTGTACTCAAATCGTAGTTGGCCATGTGGGAATTCAGTCACATAACTGCTATGCCATCTGCTGGTCCCTATATTTATTTATTTAGTTTTTTGGGGAGAGATTTTTGCTTTAGGGTGCATGCATTCACTGGAGAGACAGAAAGAGACAGAGAGACAGAAAGCAAGAAATCACCCCGCTCCTTCACCCCAGGGAGATGACCACACTGCAATTTCATTTCCTTTATTCTCTTGGGATTTTGGGCACATACGCACAGAGGCCTGGAGGGAGTTTCAAGCCATTGGATCTGTGACTCGAACTACAGATGGCCACATGGGAGTCCAACTCCTTAACCCGTACACCCCCTGCTGGCCCCCTGCATGTTTTTCAAGCCATTGAGTTTGGGACTAGAACCTTATAGCTGCTATGTGGAATTCAGCTGCCTTAACCACTAAACTAAGGGTCGGCCTGATTTCTACATGTTTTTTTCTTTCTCTTTCTTTCTTTTTCTTTTTTTTTTTTTTTTTTTTTTTTGTCATAGGGCACATGAGAAATCAACCCTCATGGGTGTGGCCATGCTGCAGTCCCTTCTCCATTTTCCTCCTGGGATTTTGGGCACACATGCAGATATGCCTGGTGTGATTTTCATGCTTCCAAGTCCAGGACTTGAACCACAATAGACCATATGGGAGTCCAGCAACTTAACCAGCACACCATCTGCTGGTCTCAGTTTCTGCATTTTTAATCAGTTTATTAACTTTTGCTTAGTGTTGACAAGACTCTATTTTTTAAAATTTAATTTTATTTATTATCATAATCTTTTTTATATTACATCAAATCACATATATCTTTACAGTGTATTACGTTTCTTTTTCCAGCACGATTATCATGCATATCAGTCAAGACAAAGATATCACTATCCACATCATTATCATCAAATAGCTTTTCATCATTTTTTCAGATTCTTAATTAGTATTTATTCCCATTTTTTTTTTTTAAAAAACATTCAATCTCTATATATCATTTGGCTTGTATAAAGAATTTACCCACATGAAATACTTCTTAGACCAGTCCAGTTGAGAATACTATGTATGCTGTCATGAACAGGTAATAAAGCATTTCTGTGTCCCACTAATGTCATGCCTCTCTATTTGTTCTTTTGCAATCCTTCTCTATACTCTTCCCTTCTTTCTCTTCCCTGTTCCATACTGTCTTCAGCATCCATAACTATTTTCACTGCTTTTATGCCCTCTATTATTTCGATTTCTACCATAAAGTATGGGTAGTTTGTATATATTAAGTGGATACATAGAATATCTTTCTTTCATATCCTGGCTGGCTTCACTCAGCAATAGATCCTCCATATTTGACCACTTTCTATGGAATGCCAGAGTCTTGATTTTTATGGCTGAGTGGTATTCCATAGAGTATATGTGCCACACTTTTTCCATCCATTCGTCTGTTTGTGGGGATTTAGGTTGTTTTCATGTCTTTGTGATCATGAATAATGCTGCAGTAAGCATTGGTATGCAGCCGTTTTTCTGACTGAGCATTCTCCTGTCCTTTGGGTAGATCCCCAGACGTGGGATTGCTAGATCAAATAGTAGTTCTATTTAGAACTGTAGATCTTTGAGGAACCTCCATGTTACTTTTCACAGTGGCTGAACCAGTTTACATTCCCACCAGTAGTGTAGGAGAGTTCCCCTTTCACTACATACCCACCAACACTTATCACTTTTTAAATTTTTTTTAAGTTTTTTTTAAAGAATTATTTTATTTAACTTTTTTTATTTTTAATCTTTGCCATTCTGACAGGGGTTAGGTGGTATCTGTTTATTTTGTTTGTTTGTTTGTTTTCTGTTTTTTTGTTTTTTGTTGAGAGGTTTTTGCTATAGGGTGTGTGCACTCGCCAGAAAGACCGAGAGAGAGGCAGAAAGTGAGAAATCATCCCCCAGGAGGGATGGCCATGCCACAGTCCGTTCTCCATTCTCCTCTTGGGATCTTGGGCACACATGCACACGTGCTTGGCATGAGTTTAAGTCACCAGGTCCGGGACTTGAACCGTGGTTGACTACATGGGAGTCTAGCGACATGTCACCTGCTGGTCCCCAAGTTCAGATCTTTGATCCACTTTTGAGTTGATAATGGTAAAAGATGGGGATTCAGTTTCATCTTTCTGCAGGTGGATACTGGTTTTTCCAGCACCATTTACTAAAAAGGTTTTCCTTTTCCCAATGGATTGACTGGTATCCTTTACTAGATTCTATTTTTAAAGTTCACTAGAGAGTATGGTTAATCAACCATTGGTGTAATAGTCACTGGGTTCTTTCGGCTTGTAGAGTATTATTTTTTTTTGTTTTGTTAAAAATTAAAGGCCAGCAAGGATGGTGTAATGGCTACATTGCTGGACTCCAATGTAGTCAACCAGGGTTCGAGTCCTGGACCTGGTGGCTTGAAAAACATTCCAGGCACAAGTGCATGTGTGCCCAAAATCCAAAGAGGAAAATAAAGGAGAAGGTATTGCAGTGTGGCCATTCCCTCAGGGGGTTATTTCATACTTTATTGCATTCTCTCTCTTTCTTTCTTCAGCAAGTGCACGTGCCCTAAAACAAAACAAAGCAAAACAAACCAAACATTAAATTAATTTTCGTGAATTACCACAGGGTACATATACTAACCAGAGTGATAGAGGAAGAGCAACAGGGAGAGAGCACCCTTCACAGTGGGGCATAGTGATGTCGCAGTCCCTTCTCCATTTCTCCATCTTGTCGGGATTTGGTGCACACTCACACAGGCATGTTTCTCAAGGTGCTGGGGCTGGGATTGGAACTGTGGTCACTCATGTGGAATCCAGCTTTCTTAACCACTAGGCTGTGAGGCCAGCTCATACTTTATCATTATTCATGAGAGAGTGTGTATATGTGCACATGAGAGTGAGAGAGAGAAATGAGCACCTTCCACAGGTCCAGTCTCACTGCGATCACTTTCCTCTACTTCAGGCAGTCTGATTTATACCGAAGCTTGCTTCTTTGACACACCATACTGAAAAAAGTGTGAGAAATAGTTGATGCAGTTTGACGTACTGACGTTTTCTGTCAAATTCCCTAATAGTAAGCAAATGGTAGTTTGTGTTCCAGAATAAATCAGGTCAAACAGCAGTATATACACTGTATAACAGTAACTGCCAACTTTCTAGCTTGTGTGGAGAAATTCTTACCATCCCTTTACCTCAGACATAGTTTCCTATCAAGGTTAGTACTTTTTTTTTTTTTAAAGAATTATTCATTTAATTTATTATTGTCTTAATTTGACCTGAGAGAGACAGAAACAGAGAGAAGGAAAGCAAGAAAGCAAGCCATCAGGTCTGGGACTTGAACCATGATTGACCATGTGGGAGTCCAGCACCTTAACCACCATACCACCTGTTGGCCCTATGGTTGGGTACTGTTAGTGCCAGTATTCATATTTAGTAGCTGCTTCCTTTTTTTCCCAGTTACAAGTAATTGATTAAAGTAGAAACAGGCTTTTAAAAATATTTTAATGTGGGGAACTAGCAGATGGCATAATGATTATGTCGCTGGACTCCCATATAATCTATTGTAGTTCAAATCTCCTACCTGGCAGCTTAAAAACTCATGCTGGGTGCATGTACATGCATGCCCAACATCCCAAGAGGAGAATGGAGGAGAAGGGATTGTGGCATGCCCATCCCCCTTAGGGGGTGGAGGAAGATTTCTTGCTTTCTGTCTCTCTGGCGAGTCACACACCCTATAGAAAAAAAAATTCATTTGGAAAAATATGCTTAGCACAATAACCATTATCAAATACATGATTTAATATTAAGTCAGGGCTGGCAGGTGGCATGGTGGTTAAGGCACTGGACTCCCACATGGTTGACTGTGGGTCAAGTCTCAGACCTGGTAGCTTGCCTTTTCTCTCTCTCTGTGTCTCTCCCTGGTCAAACTGAAGAACAATAATGATAATAAATTAAATAATATAAATACTTCTTTAAAAAATATTGTTAAGTATACTCATATTGTTGCATAAGCAGCCTGTAGAACTCTTCATCTTGCATAAATTCCTCCTCTTCCAAGCCCTCAGCAACCACTATTCTCCTTTATGTCTCTATGATTTTGACTACTCTCTAGGTATATCATATAAATGGAATCATATGATACTTGTCTTTTTTAACTGCCTTATTTCATTTAGTATAATGACCTCAAGGTTTATTTATATTGTAGCATGTGTCAAAATTTCCTTCCTCTTTAAGGCTGAGGAATAATCTGCTGTATTTATATACCACATTTGTTTATTCATCTATCAGGGGACAGTTGGTTGCTTCTTCCTCTGGCTTTCTGAGCAGTGCTGTGAACACAGGTGTGCAGATACCTCTTGAATACCTGCTGTTAAATATTTTGAACCATTTTTGAGGAACCATCATATTATTTTCCATAGGGCATTATGTTTTAATCCACTTCTATGTCTAGAAAGGATAGGGACTTGATACTTTTCATCTTTCTCCACTTCTTCTCACTCCTTCTCTTGAATGTCTGCTTCTCTTCTTTGATTACTTTAATGAGGTTGGAGCAGTGGTTGTTCAGAGCTCTCTGTTCTTGCCTGTGTAATTACACCATATGATCAAAGAGGCAAAAATATTCATTATGAGACCTATTATAGATGGCTTAGCTTGGGTCACCTTCCCGTTACTGGAGTAGTCGCTGTGGCCAAGGAGGTTCTAGATTGGGCTCAGCTGGCCACGTGCCTATCCTTGTGCTTGGCGTAGGATGAGGTTAGTTACCAGGCAGGAGGGGAGGTACAGAGTACGAAGTGTGTGAAGTAAATAAAACTACAAGCCTCTGTTGCTCTGGAAGATTGACTTCTCATTTCAACTATCTTCTAGACATCTTTACTTAAATGTGCCACAGGTGCCCCAAGGCCTGATTTCTATTCCCATGTATCTCCCCTTAATAACCCCAACCCTGCTATCCTTTCAGGTCATTAAAGGCATAGACCTTTCATGCCTCAGGATCTTTCTATATGGGGCCAATTTGTGGAAATGTTTCTTTCTACCATTATCTTCCTTTATTGGGTCCGTCGGAAAAGTCATGACACATTTTTGCCTAGTAAAACAGAAAAATATGTCATGACTTTTCCAACGACCCAATACTGGCACATAATAAAAATGACTCTGAGGTTTCTAAACTGTATTGGCACTATGATACTGCTGTTAACAAACATGGAATACAGAAGTCCAGTGATGGAACTGCTACGCCTTCTGCTCACTCCCCAAGTTTGATTTTTAAACTTACTTGACTGTGGCTCCAGTGGTACAGGCAGTAGGACATAGCTGCATGATACTGGGAGGTTTGAGTTTGGATCTCAGGTCACCTAAACATACTAGTCACATGCCTGCATACTCTTGTGGTCCTTGCTTACCCTTGGGCTGAGGAGAGGACTGCAGCATGATGAAACCCTGTCAATGGTACCTGTCTCTCTCTCTTTTTCTTATAAGTACATACAAAACAAATGAGCAAAGACAAAAAATCCTCCCCAAAATCTTGAGAACTACTCCACCTTACTTAATGCTGATAATTGTAGGTACTCTGCTTAAAATAATACATACTAGTTTCCTAATTTCAGCATTTCGTTAATTTTCTTTTAAATGATGTCTTCTTTTATTTATTTATTTATTTATTTTTGAGAGATTTTTGCTGTAGGGTGCATGCGCTTGCCAGAAAGACAGAGAGAGAGAGAGAGACAGAAAACGAAAAATCATCCCCTGGGGGGATGGCCACACCGCAATCCCTTCTCCATTCTCCTCTCGGGATCTTGCGCACGCATGCACATGTGCCCGGCGTGAGTTTAAGCCACCGGGTCTGGGACTTGAACCACAGTCAACTACATGAGAATTCAGTGACATAGCCATTACGCTAACTGGTGGTCTTGACTTTTTTTTTTTCCATAGAAAGATTTTTGCTATAGGGTGCTGTGCTCGCTGGAGACAGAGACAGAAGATGGGGTTTCACCTCCCCCCACCTGCCCCCGGGGATGTGGGCATAGTGCAATCTCTACTCCATTCTTCTCTCTGGATTTTGGGTATGCACACATTTGTGCCTGACGTGAGTTTTAAGCTCTCAGGTCCGGGACTCAAACCATGGCTGACCATGTGGGAGTCCAGTACCCTCCAGTGCCTTTAACCACCCTGCCAACTGCCAGTCTCCAAAAAGAAACAATTTTAAAAATTGTTATACTATTGGATTTAGAGAACTATAGTTGTTTTCTTGACTGACATTGTATCTTTTAAATTTGCTTCTTTGTTATTTAATTCTAATGCAGATACATCAAGAAATCTTGAATTTCATGAAATACATAGCACTGGGAATGAACCACCTTTATTGATTATGATTGGCTACAGTGATGGAATGCAGGTCTGGAGCATCCCTGTAAGTATCAAGTGATTAAATCCTTAAAACATAATAGTGTGCAGCGTGTTAGATTTCATTAGCGAAACCTGGAGATACTTTATACTTTTATTAAGGTCTCATCTGTTTATTTCACATGAAGTTGCAAAGAGACTACTATGTGTGAGACACCACATAAAGCACTGAGAATGAAGGGTAAGTGGCAAATCAGAGATGCTATAAATGTCTCCTGAAGTATGTCAGCAGTTGTGGAAATTATGTTACATGCAAGATCTCACTTTACTGTAAACCCTGTTAAGTTGGTATAGATACTGTTTTTCTCATTGTACAAAAGAGTAAAGTGAGATTTATGGAAGATTTTTTCCTTTAAATTAGCAGTTATTAATAATGTGTCAGTGTTTTGAATCAGTTAAACTATTTACATGATACAAAATTCAAGAAGTACAAAAGGGTAAACAAACAAACAAACAAACAAACAAAACTCCCTTCTATCCTTGTCCCCTCTTTTCTCCTACCTTGAGTCAACCATGAATTCTAGTTTTTAGGTATTCCTTTTTTTCCCCCTAAATTTTGTGAGAGGGCATGTGCACTTGTGCGCGAGAGGCAGAGAAAGGGAAAGTGACAGTGTACCCCCTATGGGAGATGACCACTGTGCTTTCTGTTCTCCATTTCTCCCTACGGGATTTTGGGCATGCATACACATGTCTGGTGTGTTTTTCAAGCCCCTGGTTCTGGGACTTGAACTATGTGGCCAGTCATGTGGGAGCCAGCCACCTTAATCACCATGCCTCTGGCTGGCCGATTCTTAGGAAGTATTCTTATGGTTATATTTTATGCAAATAAAAAGTATGTGTAAATAGTTCTTCCATCTTTGGTCTCATCTTGCTGCTTTTTTACTTGATAATGGCAGTATTCAAAGAGTTTCTTTACTGACTTTTATAACTGCAGAATAGTTGTTTTTTTTTGGATTTTCCCTAACTAGTTTTCTATGGATGAAAAAAACTTTAAATGTCAATTATTTATTTTTATAAAGTTTTGCCATAGGGTGTGTGTGCACACCTGGGGTGTTTCAGGTCAGCCAGGCTGAGGGATCAAAACCACATGGCTCTCAATGCCACAGATCAGCATAGCCAGGCTGGGGTCCAAACCACACTGCTGGCCCTACATGTCCATTTTTTAAAATGAAAAACAGTGATGTAATGAATGAATTGGAATGAAGGTTATTTTATGTCTGTGTTTCTATTGGCTAAATTCCTTTCAGTGGAGGTACTGCATCAGAGGGGGAGGCGGATAGGAGTAGTACAGCTTAGAACACATATTTAGGCTTCTCTCACTTGAATTTCAGGATTTACATGGTCTAAATGTCACATCTCTCTAGTAGATGGGTGGGCTTCTTTTGTGTGATTCTTTTGCAGTTGGAGGCTCTAGACCAGTAGGATTTGTATTTGTACCTCTTTTTTTTTTTAAGCTTTAACTTTATTTATTTATGTATTTATTTATTTATACATACAAGAAAACAAACAAACTTGACCAGGGAGGGAGAGACAGAGAGAGTGAGAAAGCAAGTCGCCATGTCTGGGGCTCAAACTGTGGCGGACCATGTAGGAATCCAATGCCCCTCACCATGCCAACTGCTAGCCCTGTACCTTTTTTGTCTCTTAAAGAGAGATTTTTTGCTATAGGGCATGTGCACTAACCAGAGAGACAGAGAGAGACAGAGAGACAGAAAGTGAGAAATTACCCCCCAGGGAGGATGGCCATGCCACAGTCCATTCTCTTCCATTCTCCTCTTGGAATTTTGGGCATGCATGCACAAGTGCCTTGTGTGAGTTTCAAGCCTCTGGATCTGGGACTCTAATCAAGGTCGGCCACCTAGGAGTCTGGCACCTTAACGACTATGTCACCTGCTGACCCCAAATTTGTACCTTTAATAAATGAATTCATCAAACTTGTTTGAAGCCCATGAGTGAGAGAGTCAGACAGGGTGTGTTTCAATCAGAATTTCTTTCTTTTTGTTATTGTTCTTTTCAGTGATATGGTTAACAAATATATATTACTTCAGATTTAATGAAAGTAAGGATGTTCTTATGTATAGAATTTTGCTTGAATAGTATTAGGATATTAAATAACAAACATTAATAAATCTTTAAGATTTTAAATTAAAAAGCTTATCTTTGAGAAATCAGTTACAATGAACCTTGATTTTTCCATCTAATCATATTATTAAATGTTTAGGATTTCAGGTTTTGTTTTTCTTCTTTTTAAAACTTGTGTTTCTTTTGCAGAAGTAGAAAAATCATGTTGATATGTCAAAGAATTAGGAATGTATTCTTTCTCTTTTTGCCTTGTGGAATATGCAGTTGACATTTTTCAAGGCCTTGTAGTGTTCTTTGTTATTTAAGAATCAGGTCAAAGGTACAACAGAGAACTTAAAATCTGGCAGCGTTTTCTTCCCTACCATACGAGATATTTCTAGATTGTGATCGGAGAAAATAATCTGTACACGTCCCCGTTTTTATGAATAGAGATGACTATATTTCCCTCCATAGGCCGTTTGTTGACAGGATTGAAAGCCAAGAGGAAGTTAGAGCTTTAACCAGGTTAATAAACATTGTGTGATTAGGGGTGTTGACTGGATTGAGCGCATTCCTTTGGTAGTGTTCAGGTTACTTTAACTGCCCACTTGTTTTGGTTATAATTAGAGGTACTGCTTTTAATAGTTTTAAAGTTGACTTGTCTTTCTCTCTGAATAATTTGAAGGTCTTCTATATTATACCCAGATTATGTCTTAAGAGATAAGAATGAGAATGATCTTTTCTTCATGTTTTTTTTTTGACTAGGATATACTGTTGTAGTTGTATATCTCAGTGCTGTTTCAAGAATTAGGAAGCAGTCTAGGGAAACCGGCTTTTTCTGTTCCATTGATGGAGTTCTTAATATAGTCAAGGAGATTTATTTAATGTATAGTGTGAGGTAGAAGTTACCGTATTTTGCAGGTCGTTGGGTCACACTGCTTGTATGGAGTTGGAATTCAAGCCTAGATCTGTCTGGATTTAAACTCAAAGCCCATGAGCTAGGAATTATGCTTAATTACTTCTGAAATTTGATAGCAGAAGATAAGGCTTTGCATGTAGTTTAATAGTTTAGCTTTAGTTTCTTTTGTAAAAGGTTAGGATGTGCCTTCAAATATTCATAATTATCTTTTAAAGACTACTGTGACTGTTAGCCATTATTCCGTCTAAACTCTTTTGAAACTTAAGACAGTTATTTATTCAGTAATTCTGTGCTTACATAGTGGGAAGTTTCTGTTGGCTAATCCAGGGAAAAATGGCTCTCATGAACCTTTGCAGACTGTGAACCACATTTGCTTTTGAGTAAGTGGACGAGCAGAAAGCCTATCCTTGTCTAGTGGAAGGGTTTACTTTTAGTATGTGCATGGGACTTCATTTTTTGATATGTATTTTTTTTAATTTGTCAAAGAGCAGGTGTACTTGCCAGAGACAGACAGAGAGTGAGGGAGAAAGCACTCTTTAATGGGGCCTGATAACAGCACAAACCCTTCTCTTCCATGTCTCCATGCCATGTAGGCATGTGCCTGGCCCATTTTTCAAGCCATTGGGCTGGGATTTGAACTGCATAGTTGGCCATGTGAGCTTTGTCTTCCTCAATCACTAGGTTGTGAGGCCAGCCCTGTTTTTTAAATTTTATATAAATATCCCATCTGAGAATCTCAGATAAAGAAAATAAGTAAATATAGGACATTTATATACACACACGCACACATAAATAAATACACACACACACACACACACACTCATATATATATATATATATATATAAAATTTCAAGAGAAAGGGAGAGGGAGGGAGGGAGGGAGAGAGAGAGAGAGAAAGGAGACCACACTCCATGACTTTTCAGCATAAGATTTAAGCCACCGGGTCCGGGACGTGAACTGTGGTCGACTAAGTGGGAGTCGAATGACAGCCGTTACACTAACTGCTGGTTCCAGTTCACTCAGGATTTTGAGCATGCACACATGCCCGTCACTTTTTTTTTCCTTGGAGAGGTTTTTGTTATAGGGCATGTGTGCTTGCCAGACAGAGAGAGACAGAGAGAAAGAAAGCGAGAAATCACTCCCCAGTGGGGATGGCCATGCTGCAATCCCTTCTCCTCCATTCTCCTCTTGGGATCTTTGGCATGCATGCACACACGCCCAGTATGAGTTTTAAGCTATAGGGTCTGGGACTCGAACCGCGGTCAACTACGTGGGAGTCCAGCGACATAGCCATTACGCTAACTACAGGTCCCTCTTGTCATGATTTTCAAGCCACTAGGTCCAGGATTTGAACCCTGCAGTCAGCCATGTTGGATCTAGCTGCCTTAAGCTCCACACCATCTGATGGCCTTGTTGTCATCCTAATAGAAAAATACATTAAAAAATTATATATATGCTTTTTTAATAGGTTTTTGCTTTTTTAATAGGTTTTTGCTATAAGGCACGTGTGCTCGCTTTTTTTTTAAGAGGTTTTTGCCTTAGGGTGTGTGTATTTGCTGGGGCAGGAAGGGAGAGAGAGACAGAGACAGAGACAGAGACAGACAGTGAGAGAGGAAATGTGAGAAATCACCGTCCGGGGGAATGGCCATGCAGCAGTGGCATCTTCTCCATTCTCCTCCAGGGATCTGGGTATGCATACACACATGCCGGGCATGATTTTTCAAGCCACTGGGTCCTGGACTCGAACCACAGTTGGGTATGTGGTAGTCCAGTGATGTAACTGCTATGCCATCTGTTGGCCACTGTATTTAAAATATTATACTTTTAGCCCAGCTACAGGGGCACTGGTAAGAAGCTGCTGCTCTGTGGGCTGAGGCCACATAGCAGGGAGGTCTCAGTTTGAATCCTCACTCATTGTAAAAATGGAGTACTGTGATGTGCTTCTTATTCCCAACTGCTAGGGGCACTGAGGCAGGACAGAGAGAGCAAGCCTGTGTGAGAGAGCAAGCCTGCTTCTTAAATGAAA